GATAATGTAAAATAGGAAGAAAAGGTCCAAATGGGTAGGGGTAGTGAGAGGGACAGGGGAAAGGAAAGAAGGGAAAGGAAAAACGATGAGAAATGGAAAAAATGGAAATAAAGTCTTTGTAAATAGGGAAGGGTGGGCTAGGAATGGGGAAAAATAAGAACCAAGATGCATTTTGTAAAGGTACAATTCCCAATGAGAAATGTAATTGTGTTTTATACGTAAAATGTACCAATAAAAGAATTTAACAGAAAAAAAAAGAAAACAACAAGAACAAAATAAACTGTTAAACTGTTTTATAAGTTTCTTATGCAAGGTCCGGAGTTTGATCCCCTGTAACCTCCCCCCCCAAAATCAGGTTATTGGACTCTTGAAATATAAAGGAAACAAAATTTTATGATTTCTTGGAGCAGCATAGTTATAGCTCTGAGTTCTTGATACCAGCATTGGGTTTGTCAGTGGTATATTGTATACATGTGGTGTCAACACACTTTTTTTTTTGGTGCTGGGGATTGAACTTGGGTCCTTGCGCTTGTGCAGCAGGCAGCGAAACCACTGAGCTAAATCCCCAGCCAAACACACTTTTTTTGTGGACAAAAATGAGGTAAGACTTCTGTGATGAGAGAGTTACTAGAATATACAGAAATGATAATACCTTGTAATTTTTGTGGAATCTAGTTTCCAAAAGAATCTATAATGGTTGTATACTGTTATTAAAGCTATGTATTACGCATAAAATAGTTGGTTGACAGATGTATGGGCAATAAGCCATTACCTTGGGCTAAAACAATATCAATTAAATTGGGTGTATTCATTCAGCTATTGTAGGAAATTGAAAATTGTTCTATGACTCTATTTCACATACAAACTTTTATCATTAACCTCAAAGTATCAGAGCTTCTAAAAATGTCCAGAGGTATATCTTTTTGGTCATTAAAGCTTTCAATCTAAGGTATATTATTATTAAGGAACTATGTTACCAACATCCACCATAATACATATACTTGATAAAATAAGATGTTACAGAAGTTACATGATAAAGAAATTGACATGGAGTATGATTCAGTTAAGTTGATATAATAGAAAATATCCCTAAATTGTTTTCTGATTCACTTTTATTCTCAAGTGTCTTTCTGAGAAAGGAAGTGGTGTACAGATAGGATCAGTAAATAACTCTTTGCTTGATCGAGTGTTCATCCAAATTGGATATTATTTCACCCTTCTATGGCAAAGTAATGGTTTGCATGTACTACATTTTAGTAGACTCAGTCTCACGCTTAAAAACCTTTGGTTATTTTGCTCAAAATCTCCCAAGGTTCCAACTATTATTCTCTATCTATTAATTCTTATTCAAGGAAACTGGTTTTACTTGCTTAGGAGTTATTATGACCTCAGCATGTATTAATTTGAGCGCCATCCTCCTTAACATCTCTCAATTAGAGACAGTATTATTTCTATTAGAAACAACTAATGACTGTAAGGCCGGTAATGTTGGCCTTTCAGTACCATTTTGGTCTTTTGGATGAAGCAAATACTTGCTAAAAGAGATGTTTCAATATAAACTATATAGCTGCTGGTAAGAATGCCTATTTCACTCAAAAGATCAAGAATTGAAAGATTCTCACAAGATTTGAAAGATAGGCATTAAAAGAAAACAGAAAAAGAAAGAAAAACAGTATAGCAAAGAAAAATAGCAAGTTATATGGAATGGCAATAAGCTATGTAATTGCAGATATTGATATTTCTGCCTAGAGTTGTGAACCCTGGAATCTAAATATAGATGTGATCAGTCAGATAATTTAGATAGTACTATGGAGAAGAATGCTACACTCATTTGTCCATTAAGTGAAATTTTACCCAGCAGTGTTTTTCCCCCATTTTTGGGCTCCTCAGCCCTATTTTAAAACTTAAATACTATTTAATGAAATTCTAGAGCTTTGACTTCAAAACTAACAGAAAGAATTTCAGAAAGGGATGAAGAAGATGCCCTCTTTTCTCCTGATTTCTTTCTCCATCTTAAAATTAGTTATCCCAACCAAAATGGATACATGTGAATATTCACATCTGTAACCAACTTGTTCTAGTCTGAAATATATAACTCTGTCCTTGGTGATGTATATCCAACAGAAAGGTCTTAGAGGTTATGAAAATTAGAGTAGATCCAATATCCTGGGGAAATAATCTCCAAAAGAATCATGCAGTGTTGATGGTTTGTTTTAGGTGGTAATTTGTTGCTCTAATAATAATGTTATAGTTATTTCTGTATTTCTCAGTAGAATAAATACATTTAAGATTTTTTCATTCAGTGGTGGATTATTGATATTTTCTTCTCCCATATGTATGATGAGGAAAAGGAGTGCCTACAACTCTGCTGGTTTTCTTATTTTAACAAAGAGATGGAAAACTTTATCTCACTCAAGTTAAAATTTTTTTCTTAGTTTCCACTTATACAAAGGTTAAATTTATTAAAATAATTGGAAGAAAATTAATAAATTATTCTTTATCTCTTATATAACACTACCTTACTCCTTATATTTATTTAAATTGACTTTGCACACGATGCATACACATTTTGCTTGTACATAGTGTTACTGGTCACGACTGTACATACCTGTTTAACCTGATCTGTGTAACAGCTAGCACAGACTCATTTCCAGAGGCAAACAGGAATCAAAACGTTTAGACAATGCTTTAAATTATATCTTATTTTCTGGGGAAAGGAAAAAACTCTTAAAAATTTTAAGTAGATTGTTTTCTTTCATTCTGTTACCTTTTTTGGTCTTACTCTTTCATTCTGAGCTCTCTTCTGTAACTAATTCTTTGTATATTTTTTAGTCATCTAGTAATGCTAAAACTTCTTCATTTTGAGTTAAAAATGCCAAGGTTTCAAAGGCTTTCTCATGCTTATTGGCCTGGGATTTAGCTTAGTGGTGCTGCCACCTGCCTGGGAAGTGCAAGGTCCTGAGTTTAATCCCCTGTACCAAAAAAAAGTCTTCCTCACATCTTTCACTAAGAGTTCCCTGTTAGCTATGGGACTCACTCAGTCTTCTTGATGGGAGTTATCTCAGTATAGCTCCCATATGGCTGCAGACACATGTATGCAGATACACATATTTATGCCGTACATGTACAATATTTAAAAATAGAAACACTACACATACCCTTTGAATTTGTGCTATATCTGTGGCTAATGTTGTTGTTAAGGCTCCTGTGCTGTTTTCTTTATCATCAAACCAGGCAATATCCTAAGAAAAAGAGAATTAGCATATTGTTATCAAAAGCATTCTTCTCTGATTTGTGATTTGTTGTAGTAAGTTAGTAGGCATTTATCTGCCCTCTCATTTGCCTGTACTTAATTCTTGTAAATACTATGGATCAACTAACTGACTTTTGCTTATTTCATAAGGATCTATATTTTGGAATAAACTGAAGAATTTAAGCCCAATAACTTGGGCTGCTCGCCATGTTACAGTATTGTATGAGAGTCGATGTTGCTGGGCATGGTGGTGCAACTTGGACGGCTGAGGCAGGAGGATGCTTTGAGTTCGAGGACAGCCTGGGCCACACAGTTGTTCAAGGCCAGCCTTGACCACATAGCCATACTGTGTCTCAAAAAAAAAATTCAATGCTAAAAGCAATGATTTAGGACCACCCAGTAATTTATAATTTTACTCCACAAATATTTTGTGGAAGGCAGATTCTATTTAAATAAACAATGCACAATATAATTCATATTTTTTTCAAATTTTACCTAATCTGTCTAATGATAAATGTCTGTCTCTTCTTTCGGATCCACCTGGGCAGAATTTTACCCAAGATTTTATTAGCACTAGACACTGTGCAATGCTAAGGAGGCAGAAGGTTATAAAACTGCAGGTAAGAAGCATGCAATCTAGGTAAGGCAGGTCAAAAATACTAGTAAATAAAACCATAAGGTAAGAACCAATTACATTTTCAACAGCCACTAGAGGAAGCGTTTCCTAGCACTTTTCAGCCTGAGGAATCCTGATTTCTTTTCATTAGCTACTGAATGTTTCCTCCCACTCAACCACTTGTGTCTCTTGTGGATTGAAACAGTGTGGAGACTGTCTCTGAAACAATGATTTATATTTAGTAAGTAAAGAGCAAAAAAAAATATGTTGGCTTACTGCAACTCAGCCAGGCTTTTGATGCCCAGATTACACATTATTATAAATTAAGGAAATAAACACACAACAGATTGAAGTTTGTGCATTAATCATGCAGTTGTGTTAGAAGAAAACTTCCAAAGAGGAATATGGCAGCAGCCAAGGTGGTGCAGTATAATGGTGCTACTCTGTGAACCACTGGATTGGGAAAGTGCCAGAGTGAGCTTGGGGTCCTAGGTGCCCAAGGGGTCATAGGGAAACCTCCATCTGCACTGCACAGTCACCACTTTGAAAACACCGCCCCCGCCAAGACCCTGAGCTCACATTAGCAACAGTGAGGTAGTACTGCTGTAGTGCTTGGACTGGCCATTACCTCCTCTGATTATATAGACCCTCCCCAAATTAAGACATAGTATGTGTTCTAGTTGTTTCTAGAATTCAATATGACATGCAACACACCCAGAGTTTTCTCATACAATATAAAATACAAATATGGAGGGAAAATTTAATATTGAATATTAAGTCCCTGATTCTACACTAACTTGCTATAATACACAATGCATAGTACATATAAATATGTGACTAGTCTTAGTCATCCTATGTTCAATCATCAAGATGTCCAAAATTGCTTTTTAGCAAGTTAGCAATTATGCACTCTAGGAATTGTTTTCCAGCAGTATATGCCAAAACATGTAGCAAAGTTTCTGGAACTCAGCACGTGTTGAGTAAGAATTAACCTACTTTCCCTCTTCCTGATGGTAAAATAATTGTGAGTAAGGCTGTCAGGCTTTTTGACACTAGTAGATCTATTCTTTTACCTGCCAATAGTAAATACAGTCACAGTTCAATAAGTGCTTGGCATGTATTTTCTCATTTAATCATCACAACAAGCTTTTGAGATAGCTACTGTGAATCTATATTTATAAATGAAAATCTAATAGACTGAGAGATGAAGTGACTTGCCCAAGGCCACAGAGCTGGCTGGCAAGTGCTGAGGTCAGGATTTGAACTTTAGCAGCCGGGGACCAGAGTTCTTAAATAATGATCTTATTCTGCCTCCCATCTGTCTGAAGCATTATGGTTGGGTTCTGTTATTACCTACTTCCTCTTGCTTCAGGACTTACTACCTCAAATCCTTTTGGAAATGGCTTAAGCAGTTTTTGAGGCTCCTTAATGGCCACCACCAATACTGTCGTTCATCTAATTAGAAGGAAATGGCCTAAAATAAATTTATACCTGTTCAAAATCCCTATAGTGTCATAGGTCAATATTAATAGGTAATAAATATAAACTTAGCTTGAAACCCAATGAATAACAAATCGTTTACAACTGTGGTGGTCAGCAACAATTAGAGTATTCATTTCAACTGGAAGTACCTAAGTAATCACATAAAATACAGCTCTTATAATACAAAAAGATCACACCCAATTCTATAAATACCTCTCCCTCAACTGAGATTTCAGAGTGGTTATATAAAGCTCCAAAAGTCTCACCATGCTTTGAAGGCTTACAAATTCTTATCTTAGGACAAAAAACTGTTAATGAGGTTAGATAAAACCGTACATTAGGAGCTTCCTTTATTATGGACAAAGCAGAATTGTAAAGACATTTAAAGAGGCCAACTACACAATACTTATACTCTAATTTCAAAAGCAAAGAATGGAAAAAGAATATTAAAGAAAGATGAAGGAAAACAAATAGATCCAAAAAAGCTGAACTGTGGAGGAAATTAATAACAAATAGCATGAGGTTTCTGAGTGTCTCTGTGAGTATATGCATGTTTTTTGAAGGACAGAGTTCATGGCTTATAGATTAGACCCTGCTTATGAGCAGTATTTTATCCAAGAATGTTGCTGTGCTGGTGTTCAAATTCTAGACAAAAGATTAAGGTCCAAAATATTAGAGTGACAATAGTTGCACTGGCTAAACTGGCTCATGGCCTTGAGAGTCTTCTACTAAAAGCATTCTGTGAAAAAACTTCAACAGGATGCTTTAACTATTGGAAAACACTCAAATTCATATTCTTCTGTATAAAAACATCCAGATATTCAAAAGGCATTAAAAAAATTCCTAGAAATAGCAATATCCTTGAACAGGAAAGGACAAAAATTCATGAAGATAAAGACAAACAGAAATTGTCCGCAGTGTGAAACATAGTAATAGTTACAGTCTCCATCTACACAAAAGATTTTAGATAAGGACATAAAGTGCTGGGCTGGGGATTTAGCTCAGTGGATCTGTCACCTGCCTCTCAAGCTGAAGGTCCCGAGTTTGATCCTTGGTACAAACAAAACAAATAAAGTGTTGATAAATAAAAATATAAAGCACAAATTTAACATAAGAAATATTTGCAGGCATTAATTAATTTATGATCCCTCAAATAGATTTTTATTTTCCTAGATTAAAGAATGTCTGCAAACATAGAACAAAAATCTGAGGCAAGACCTTTTCTTTCCATTTTTTTTGGGGGGGGGGCGGTCCTGGGAATTAAACTCAGGACCTCGGGCTTTCCAGGCAGGTGCAGGAGGCAGGACCCTTTTGAGCAGAGAATGTAAGGGCACTCACTGCTTCAGAGCTTCAAGTTGCCATCAGAAACTCCAACTTTGCTTTACTGCATTTTGTGTCTTGCAGTTCCCCAAGACTACAAAGACTACAGAATTTTGTTACATGGCATTCCTGAGAGTACTCCTAAAAGTCACAAGATGTAAACACTGGTTTTGATGACTCAGCTGGAGTGACAGAAACTCTATTTCTGAAAAGAAATGACCCTGGCAGGAAGCTATTTGCTCCTGCTTGGTGAGATCTAGTGACAGAAAGTGAGGCAGAAAGCTCCCAATGATTATTGCCTTTCAGGGTAACCCAATACTCCTTACTCATGAAAGAACTTTAGAGGTGCATTTGCCCCCAAGACTCACTTTTGCAGATTACTACTTGATCCACCTAGTTTTAGTTATTTCACAGAGTGACTGATCAGCTGTATGTGGCAGGCAGACTTCTAGCTAGACTGATGTTATCTGAATGCAGTACTCTTCATAAGGGTAAATGGGTTGGCTGCTGTAAGAAGTGTGGTGTGAAAAACTGAAACTGGCCCATGGATGAGAAATGGAGATATTATCAAGTCTTTCCTTTCAAATATGTCCCCAAGATATTGTAGGTCTTACCTCTCCTTTTCAGTTTTAATTTGGTCTTCAATTCTAATCCTACAGCTCTACATTATGCATTGAAAGAGAGATGGGTTAAGTTGAACATAACAGGAGTGGACCCTAAGTGCTTGTTTTCAATGAGTTTTGTTTTCAGGGATCACAATTTTTGCCCTGAAATTTTATTAGGAAAATGTAAGAATCTTGATATCAATTTTTGATGCTAAGGACAAAAACAAAAAACAAAAAAAAATCCCCATGCTTTTCAATTATCCAAAGGAAAGACTACGTCAAGAAATTACCTGAGAAAGAACTAAAAACTAACATATTTTACAAATTTTAAATATAATAAAAACTCAACCAAACACACTGACCTGATGTAACATGGCTCTGAATGCCAAGTGTCTTAATGTCATGGTTAAAATTTCCCCTGCTTTGCCATAGAACAATCCCTGGAAAACAAAAAGACAATCTTCATTTATTCTTAACTCTCTTTACTATTTCTTTGTCATGTTTACTTCTTATATTTTTAACACAAATAGAGAGGAGTACATCAAAAAGTAATCCCACACTGGGTTATTTAATTTATTAAAAGTTTACCTGCATGAAGTAACTGATAAAGCAAATAATGCCCCAAATGACAAATATCATGGAATAAATTTCTGCATCATTTTTTAATGTAGGTTTGTTATCATCTTCAAACATCTGAAGGGGAATAGATTTTTTTCATCAGTGATTTGGAGGAAAATATAGAAGAAAGAAAAAAATTAAAATACTCATATACATCAGGATTTTCTAAATGAATTAAAACATAAAATGACTACACATTTCTGAATAATGTCTGCATTTAGTACATATAAAAACAATTTAAATGGCTCACATTTGTTATATAACCTCAGACAAATGAGTTCTCTATTATTATCACAGTATATTTTTTAATTAAATCACGTTTGAATTGTGTCTAATACATTTTAATAACTCATATTTCTTAAAGTTCATCTGTGTAGAATACCACCTGCAATGTACCCCTAGAATTCATTCTGACAGTTAGTAATTATGCATATATCACCATTTATGTTGGTGAAATGAAGCTGTGCAAAGCAGACACTGAAAACTCAATAAAGACCCAGAAAGATCCTTGAACCAACCAACTTGTCTAGGTCTTTGGCCCAATCTTGAACTCCTCTTTCTTCTCCCTGAGTTGGCTCGTCATAAAAAAGTTGCCACTGTTTCAACTAGTTGAGAGTAGAATAGTTTTATTTGTCTCTTTTATTGCTTTAGTGCTTTAGAATGTGGATACAACACTGAAGTCAAATTTAGAAAACAAAGCAATTTTTTTTTATGGTTTTCCCAGTCAACAAGACCCAGCCAAACATAACACAATGAATGTGGTTTACCCCCCAGGAACATTAGTTGACCTTTTACCATGGATCCCACCCTAGGTGTTACCCACTGAAAGTCCCAATGTCCTTTTTGCTGATCACTGTGTAATGAGTCATTTCCCTTAAACTGCACTTCGTTTAAATTGTTAAAGAGTACTAGTGAATGGGTTTTACTTCTAGTTATGATTTTTGCAAAGATGATAGAAAATACTGGATGAACAGTTCCGTTTAGAACAGAAGCCAGTGTCCCCAGAACCACAAAAGGCCATTCAGACTTGTTTAATTAAAAAATTTTTAATAGGGAAACTTCAGGAAGACTTGTCTGTAAATAAAATATATTGGTTTAAAATTTCATTTACAAAGCACAGAAAAGTTAGGCAATCACAAACAAAAATATAATATAACAGCAAATATAATAGATAGCAGGGTAGATGTTGTATTTTTCTTAGAAAAATTTCACTGCCTATATTACCAATGATGATAAAACATAAAGGGATCTTACCAAAAGTGGCTATTTGTGCAGTATCACTTTTTGGCAGTTCACTTGGTATCATTAAGAAAGTGCAAATTAGCTCATGTGTTCTAATAGCTAAGAATCACGAACACACAAAATGCTACATAGGCCTATTTCTCTTTTTTTTTTTTTGGTACCGGGGATTGAACTCAGGACCTTGCACTTTTGAGGCAGGC